CCGGCCGCCATGTTCTTGAAGCAACTTCTTCCTTTCTTCTTCTCTTTTCGTTGCAGACAAACGGTTAATTGATACTCGGCCTCCGTGCCGCAGCGTGCAACGCCAACCTCACGGGCCGCCGCGGCGTGGTGGAGAGCCCCAACTGGCCCGACGCGCCGCCGCGCCGCGCCAACTGCACGTGGGAGGTGACGGTCCCTGTGGGCAACAGGATCAACATCACCTTCTCGCACATGTCGCTGTCGCTGCCGCTGTTCCCGCGCCGCGGCCGCTGGCACCGCCCCGGCCACGGCCCCGGCGGCCAGTCCCAGTGGTCCCCGGGCCGCGGCTGGACGTGGCAGCCGCGACCCGGGGCGTCCAGCAGCCAGCTGTCCCAGATGGCGCAGTCCGCCCTCCAGACCCTGCGGCAGATGGAGGAGGAAGAGAACAGCTCGTGCGAGCACATATACGTCAAGGTTGGTTCTGGCACCGAGCTCAACTCCTTCCGACTCCTTCACCCCTTTTCCAGTGGTTTGTGCCCAAGGCACGTGACTTTACGGGGAAGGGGCGTCCACCTATTATGGGGTCCTAAAAGGTTCAGGATAGTCATTAGAGTCGATAGAAATTCCATAATATTTGGACTCCCTCCCCCCTCCCTAAAGGTCCCGTGGTTTGGGCACGATCGCTAGTGTATTCCACCTTACTCCTACTCTACTTTCAACTTAACTTCCCTATAACTGTTTTGCAGATCCAGGACAGCGAAGAGCGTGAAGGCAGCGACGAGCTACACCCGAGCGCCGGGCCGCCGCTGGGCCACTTCTGCGGCACCAAGCTGCCGCCCGTGGTGACCTCCAAGAGCCACAAGGTGTTCGTCACCTTCAGCTCGCCCTTCATGGCCTCGGCCGGCTCGGGCTTCCGGTTCGAGTGGGCGGCCGAGGGCTGCGGCGGCGACCTGCGCCGGCCCGAGGGCGCCTTCACCTCGCCCAACTACCCGCAGGCCTACCCCGTCAACCAGGTGGGACATCACATCGAGACCTCGATATCGATGTATCGATATCGCAGTACAGGGTGAGTGATCTGCGCCGTCCTCTTTTTTTCTGGTTGTACTGTAACGGACCCCGGCATGCAGGCCTGCCCACCGTCCTCCCCATGCTCCTTCGAGCCCTGAGCGAGTATGCAGCCTGACCGCACACCTTCCGGTACAGTTAAACCGAAAAAATGAAATGAACAAGTCAGAGCGCAGATCACCCACCGTACTCTCGAGGCTCGACGTATCGAGTCGGTGTTCGATACATGGTCGATGTCGCCCACCCTGACAACCAGGTTTGCGAGTGGACCATCACGGCGGACTGGGCGTCCAGCGTGGAGCTCACCATCTGGGACTTCAACCTGGAGCACGTCCAGGAGTGCAGCTTCGACTTCCTCGCCGTGAGTGATTCCGTGTAGAGAGCACCCCCCCCCCCTGACCCTGCCGATCGCTCGCCGGCTGAACCCCACCCTCTTCCAGGTGTACGGCGGCCCGGACGACTCTTCGCCGGAGCTCGTCAAGATGTGCCACACCGAGACGAAGCCCACGGTCCTCACCTCGTCCGGCCGGCAGATGTTCGTGCGCTTCCACAGCGATTTCTCATACTCCGGCCGGGGTTTCAACGCGAGCTACAAGCTCGTGGGCAGCCGTGAGTAAAGGTGTAATGGAGGGGTAAGCAGATCCCTCGCGCCACCCCGTTGGGTTCAAAACGTGTGCCCTATGCCCGTAAGAGACAATACCCAAACCACGTGACGCATTTAGGCCGTTCGGCCAAATCACGAGGTTTTTCCATTTTGTCATTAGTTTTTGACGCCACGGCGCGGCAGTTGTTTACCAATCACAGCGCGCGGATGACAGAGTGCGGGGCAGAGAGAAACGCAACATGGCGACACACGGGTGTATATTACAAACAAAAAGAAACAAAACAAAAAACACACACACACACACTAAGCTGGCAAAGTTTCACGAACAAGGTGCATACAGTATCGATGCATAAAACACTGTGAGGAAAGTTGGACAGTAAACATTTGTTGAGCCCGTACGTGCTGCTACGCCGGTCTCCCCAAGACACTAGTTCTCTCCCCGTCTGTCGAACCACTTATGGTAGATGATTTCGCCAACCAAGACGGCCGCGGACACGCCGTAGCAGTAGGCGAGGAGCAGGAAGGCGGGGCGCAGCTGGCGCAGACTGAGGGCCCGTGCCAGCCCCTCGTCGTTCTTGGCGTGCACGTCGGGTCTGTTGTGATTGACCAACTCTCGGACCATCCGCAAGCGCAGTCCGTGCTGCAAGCACCAGGCGTTGGTCCTTATTAGAGCTTCTCGCAAAGGCGAGCCGGAGGTGAAGCTTAATTTCGCGCTGAGATACGGCGCTCCAAGTTGAAACGAGTGGAGCTTGTGGGACTTAGACATCAGATATGGCGACAAGAGCAGTTCAGAGTTAAGGTCCCACGGTAAGATCACGGCTGTGTCGCGCCCGTCTGCCGCTATGCGTACAGCCGACTGTAGGTCCTTTGAGGAGACGAAGGTCATCCGAGATCGCAACGTGTCCGATAGATATGACGGACCGTAGCCAAATAAGTCTTTGCTCATTCGGATGCTCAGCCCGCTGTCCTCCAGCTGCTCCAGGCTGTTGATCTCGCCCGGCGGGGTGGTGAGCTCCCTGAGCAGCAGGCCCTGGTAGGCGGCCGCGAGCACGACGCTCATGAGCAGCCAGACGGCGGACAGGGGCCGGTGGGCGGTCCTGCCGGGGGGTGCCTGGCCCAGCAGCGGGGCGAGGGTCTGCAGCGGCGCGGTGGCGAGGGCGGCCACCAGCGGCCGGCCCAGGACCGCCACCACGGCCAAGGCCGTGGCCACCGCGACCCCCAGCACGGCGGCGGCTGTCGCGCACCACAGCCCGGCGGAGAACTCGTCCGTGACGGCCTGCAGCAGGGTGGCGTGAGGGTCTAGGCCCGCGGGGACCACCACCTTCACCTCGTTTAAAGCAAAGAATTCGTAGCTGAGAGAGCGACGCACCCACAGCGGCCCGGAGCGGAAGGAGAACACCGCGGGGAGGGTGCAAGTGAGACTACGGTTCCGCAACTCGCCAGCGAAGCTTGCGTCCTCGTCCCGCCACTCCACGCGGAGCCCCAGGCTGTTCGCTATGGCGGTCAAGAGGTCGATGTAGGGCTGGGGGTGCTTCACGTGCCGGTCGGGGCGGATGGCGAGGACGTAGCGGGGCGCCGGCTCGCTGGACCTCCACGTCGAGCAGAGACTCGTGAAGGGCGAGGACTGTCGCTGCCAGCGTTGGGCTCTGGGCGACCACCGGTCTATCTCGGCCACGACGCGAGTTTCGGCATCGTCGAATTTCCCCTCAGAGCGGAGGCTGAACAGCGAGGTGGCGCCGTCCGGCGTGGACACGGCCAGGACCGCCTGCTTCTGGAACAGCCACACGAGGTCGACCACGCCGAGCGCGCGCACGTCACCGGCGCTGGGCGCGCTGTCCGCCCACGTCCACAGCAGGACGCGGGAGAGCGCGGGAAGTCTGGTGCCGGCCACAGTGTCAGCCAACTGGGCTGCGCTGTCGGCGGTTATCAGGAACATGTTGTCGCCGTACGCGAGCTGGACGTGCTGGGTCAAGGGGAAGTTCCAGGAGGTTGTATGTAACCTGGCTGTCTCTGGGGGTAGCTGCCTGAGGAACAAGCCCAGGGCGCGATTCTTCCCATGTACACACACGCCGGATGTGCTGCCCGACAAGAAGGACGATACCAGTTCGACGACACCCTGCGTGTCGATGGGAGCCCTCGGCTCCGGAAGGACGGCGTCGCACCGTGCTAGGCAGAGGAGCGGGGCAAGGATGGCGAGCAGCTCCATGCTGTTGCTCGGCCAAGGACAGCTTGGTGACTACGTGGCCGTGGCCCACGCTAAAGTAGAAGTTGTGCGCTGTCGTTGTGTTTGTTTTTTTTCTTCAAACGATCTCGGAACGCTACATGGCTTTCAGACCACCGTGAACTGGCTTTTGTCGGCGTAATGGGCTCCTTCCTTTTCAAAGTTTTGTATTCTTAAAGTAACTGAAAGCACTAAGGCGCAAAGCGATCGAAACAGTCGACCTACTTAAAGTTTCAATTTAAAAAAAATAATTGAAAACGTTAAATGTATTTATTTAATGCCATGAATGTCAAATGAAAATGTGTATCAGGTCAGGTCTTCAACTCAAACAACTTAACTTGGTCTTCATTTGGCGAAGCACTATTGATGAAGGTTTGTTTATTTGAGGCGTCGTATAAAAGCGCTAAGCACTGCTTTACCAAAAAGTAGCCGTACAAATCCGTATGGTGCAATCGAACTAGTTCTGAATACCCCCCCC